TTGGTCTACTCTGAATTAGTTAGAAACACTTTCACAGGGAGAAATTATCTGCTCAGAAACCACAAATTCAAGTTTTACCCCCTTTAACACAAAGGTTTTTAAATTTGCTTCACAAAGTCAATCGTCAACTCTTCATTGAGGCGCGATGGATGTCAGTTTTACTACCTTCCAAGCACCATCCAGTTCCAGGCAACCTCTAAATGTCTAAAGTTTTCAACACCATATAAGCATCATTCCATGCTCGATTTCAACAAGCTCTGCTTCTAAACCATCCTCTCCAAACTATACAACCTCCCCGTTGCATGATCCTAGGACCTCACTGCTCCGTGCAAGTAGTTTGGGCACAAAGAAACCATCTGCTCATCATCCAGCCCTGGGAGTAGCATGTAATTCTGAAATCATGACACATATCAGATTCTTAGGACATGTCTACACGAGAACCAAGGCATGAAGGGATGTGATTGGTAAAGAATGGAGAGAGAATGTATGTGGCTGGATAAAAAATTATTGTGTAGAAACTATCCATTAGGACCATGGTTTCTATATGTAGTGTCTATGGAAATTAATAGATATAGCATTGTGACTGCCCTAATACATTATAGAAACACCAGAATAACTATTTTTTCATAGGTAGAAGTGCAAGATTGAGAAGCAAATTGTCAAGCTTGTTTGGCTAATCTATGAGCATCTTGTTTAAATATTCGTCAATAAATCGTGGAAAGATAATGTCCAATTAGACAAAATGTACAAGTCAGAGCATGGGCGAGGAAGGGCGCGAGGGCGGAGGCCGGTGCGAGCGAGGGCAAGCTAAGCTAGTGAGGGTGGGCGCTATGGCGAGGCCACATGATTTATAGCAGAGGATTTATAGCAGTCTTCCTCTTTCCTTTTGTCTTAATTTTCTTTCCTTCTGTGTTAATTCTCTTTTCTTTTGCTCGTTGTCATGTATGCTGGTGCATGCAAACATGCAATGTATATATGGATAACACAATAATTTTCTACTTCCTATTTTGTAAACATGCAATATTCAATCAAGGAGACAAATCGTGAGCTTTCCTTTTCTCGCTCATCCGTTGGACAGCGTGGGAGGTGGAATCGATCGCATGGGGTGGTAGACGGATGAATCAAGACAATTGTCGTACCAAAATGATGTCCACATTTTGTTTTTTTAGCTGTATGAGATAAGGGGGAAAAGTAAGTTTGACAGTGACGTACGGGGAAATCCCATTAGATCTTTTCTATACCAGCATGTTTGCAGCTTGCTTGAACTCCACCTCCTACTTCGGTAGCCACGCCTACTTCCGCTCCGTTCGGAGTGTATATTTTACAGCTTAAACCTTCCAGGTATTTTTTTGTTGAGCCCTGGTACGTGTCCAGCATTCTCGGCTACGGGATGTTCAGGTGCCACCGGGAGGTGGGCCCAATGGAGAGCTGGAGAGTGGCATTTGGCCGAACGGATCAACGTCGAATGGGGCTCAAGCACTATCGGATAGCAGAGATAGCTCAGAGAAATCTGTACTCATGTTGCAAACATTATCACTCTCGAGGTGATTGATGCAGGCACTAAAGTTGAGGAGGTGTCGTATCAGGTGTTACATCGGGTGTTCGGATACTAATAATAAAACTAATTACATAAGCCGTGACTAATTCGCGAGACGAATCTATTAAACCTAATTAATTTATCATTAATACATGTTTACTGTAGCATAATATGATGGGCGAACTGGTGGAGCTGTGGACCAATACGTCGACGTGTGTTTAGATATTTCGAGAACACCAGCTGCATTTTGCCTAACAATTGTGACTCCGAGATATTTATTACTTTTGATATGCCGCCTTTAATCCTTCCAACACGTGGAGTGTTGCCTTTTTGCAGCTAAATGGAGCTCGCCATCGACGTGCAAAAGCGAACGGTTCGATTTCTTTTTCGTGACCAAGGTGGGCTAGTAGTTATATCGGTTCGATTTCTTTCCTAACCAAGGAGTTTATATCGGGACCTGTTTAGTGAGGCTCTTTCTGACATCTAGAACATTTGAGAAGGAACTATTTTTATGGCTGCCGCAAGTGGTTTAAAAACAGCTCCAACTTTATTATTGGCCACTAAAAAATAACTTCTTCTAAAATGTTTGATAAGATTTCTCCAGCTTGTTCACAGAAGCAATTGTCGGAGCCTAACCGACGTCGTGTCAAAACAAGCCCACAGTCATCCGGAGACAGATCGGAGATGGACTGTTTAGGTATGATGAGTCTATTTGCTCCACTACCTATAGGAGTACTACGTGTTCAGTACAGCAACCCCGGGTAAAGTGTCCCTAGAGCGCACGAACGCAGTGCTAGCCCTTAAATTCTCTCGCTAGCTGCCAGCCAGCATCAGTAGCAACTGCCGATGAACAATGTCCGCGGTCACGAGGACGGGTAGTGGAGCAAATAGTACTCCTAAATCCGTTATGCGCCCTCCACGTTCAATCAATCAAATAATCAATTCCAGGTTCCGTTTCCTCGGCTGATTGGTGCGAGAGGTTAGCTAGCTCCATCTAACCGACCAAACCCAATAAGTCTTGTGTCCTAAGAATTAATCATGCTGCGTGAATATATTGCCCTGTTCGCTTGGCTGATAAGCCATGGCTGGAAGTACGGTTGGGTGATTCGTTGTGAAAGAAAAATACTATTCGTTGGCTGAAAAAGTACGGCTTATAAGCCAAACGAACAGGAGAAATCCTTCTTATGGTGTACTTTGGTTTCATGATAAATCGATTTTTGAAGCTGTCATAAGTCAAACATTAATAAAACTTACAGAAAAGAAGACCAAACTTAAAATGTCAATTCTCTTTTCTATAGGCTTGGTCAAAATTAAAATAGTTTGATTTATAAAAAAACTCTAAAAAAATTATTATTTTGGGAGTTGTTGACAACCAAAATTACCCAAGGGAGTTCAATCCAAGAAAACCGGCTAGGCCAAGTTTGTTAAAGTTGTCAAAATGCATAATGGATTTCAACATTATTATATTCCTCTCATCTAGGTGCTAGAAAAGCATAAATACACATCTAATTTGGAGTCTAGATGAGGAAGTTATGGCTTCTAAAAAATTTCACCCCCATAAAAGCCGGCTAGTTCCAGCTTCATAGACTAGTACAAATTTAGAGTCATGTTTTGATATGATCTATAATAAGTTTTCAACTTCCACGGCATAAGACCACCCCAATATATAAAGGGTCACGGCCGATTGAGTAGAGGACTACAATCGAACCAAATCAATCTACAACCTTACTTTCATTATGTCTTCTCTTTTACCCTACTTTCCCAACCCTAACATGTTCATCTCTCTTGATCCGAGGATCAAGGGTAGCGTGCTAGGGTGGCTGACTGACCTAGGGAAAACCTACTGATGTCCTCGCCCTAACAGGGTCCCTCCCAGGTGAGAGTTTCGATGATCTCTTTGCTACTTTACCTAAAAACTAGCCATTCTTCATCAAATAAGTGCGATAGTTACCCATTGCTAGTTTGTACGTAAGCCTAGCCTCTTTTTACTGTGAAAGCATGATAGTTACTCTTCCCAGACGAAATCTAGGAAAACCCACATGCGGCTGTGTTGTCTACCTTGAGGGCGTCTTGAACTTATGTAACCAGGCTTACAAAAAAGAAGAAAGTGCCTTCTAAAGCTAAACCAGGAGAATACAAACCTATAAAAGAGAAGAAATGAGAAAAAGATTATTGTAAAGAAGATCTCTTGAATAGAGCAAGACAAATCCGTTCTTATGGTTGTCAAGCTCCAGATGGGCAACCTTGATGCGTCAAATTTGTTGTTCCACTATCTTTGGTGATATCCTTCTATGGCCTAAGATAGCAGCCCAAACTTGGTTGTTGTCCAAGATTGAGATATTTTGGTGTATATATGTCTACAATGCTCTTTAGAGATAAACTTGAGATGTAATCCAACGGCCTAATAGTGGAAGTGATTTTGTTTCCTTTGTCTAGTGGATTTTACTGTGATTTGAGATTTTCTGATAAAAACCTACTCCCTCCGTCCCTAAATAAATTAATTCCTATAATCCGTGCTGGTCAAACTTTTTTAAGTTTGACTAACTTTATAGAAAAGAGCAACAACATCTATGACATAAAATGAGCACATTATGAAAATATATTCTATGGTATATCTAATTATACTAATTTTATACCATAAATCTTGATGTTTTTTTCTATAAATTCGGTCAAAGTTTAAAAAAAATTAACTTAAGCCAATTCTAGGAATCTATTTATTCAGGGACAGAGGGAGTAGTGTCTTAGGTAGATGTGTTGTTGATGCCTATATATTTCCATATATGTGTGTTGCATATGCTTTATTCCTCATAAATAGGTTGAGATGGGGCAGATTTTAGATGTTACTAAAATTGATTGCTTCCGTTGTCGGTTGTCACTAACACTATTGGAATCCTCCTGTTTTCCTAGGGCCAAAAACCCTAGGGAAAGGCACAGGTACCCTAGGTGATTCATCAGGATTGCTCCTAGGGATCGATTTCACGGGAACCAAAGAAGTGCCCTAGGGTTGCACGAGAAAACCCTAGGAAAAATGTCTTCCCTAGGGTAATTTCACCCCTAGGGAAATTTGCGGACATGACATTTCATTGCCCACGTGTAAATGTCATCTCCCTAGTGGGTTGAGTTTTATAGGGAACATACAATACGCAGATCATACCATTAATAAACAATATATATTTGAAATCAAATTTTGAATCCAAATACAAATTTAATTATAGCACAGTACACATGCATTGTTTCCATCAGAATTTAACATTCATCAATCCATATTGATTTAAGTTTCAATATCTCATTAGAGGCACTAACACAAACACAACTTGTGCCATCAAAATGACCAAACTGAACTACAACACAGGTGCATATTGTAACCTGGTAGCTGTAGGCAGCGAGCAGCTTTGCTGCACAGCGCAACCAAAATAATCAGATGCGATCAGACCAACATCATAGTAGGTTCCAATACAACATGTCAAAGCAATGGAAATTCATCGTCATCTTCAGGAGAGTATGTACCCCCACCACTTGTGGCATTCACATGACAACGATAGCCTCCGTAAGCGATCCTAATCAATGTTTCCTCTGGAGTTTCCATTCCAACAGATGATCCAAGTGTACCAATACCAACCTGCTATGCAATTAAACATTTGAAAATGCAACTAGATAAGCATAACGGTTATGATTCCATTCACTACTTGTCTCTATGTCCATTTGTCACATGCAAGTTCTGTACTGGAAGTTTTTGAGCTACTATTTTGTGATGTTATTTGGTTTTGTATGTTTTATTTTAGCTCACCATTGCATAAGGCACTTGACAAAGAAAAAATAATAGTGCATCACCAGATCACCCTTTTGAGAAAAAATGATTTTTTCTGAAAAAGAAGATAGCGGCTACCATACACTCACTGGTGGAGCTTCACATAAATATCAGAGGGCACCAACACTCTAACAGTGGTAAAATAAGTGGAGTCACAGTGTTTAAGCATGGACTAATTATAAAGCTAAGAGAATATGCCAATTTAAGGGAGCAGCAGGTCACACACGACTAGTTGATGATACTAATCTCTTTCTGAAAAAGATGATAGCAGTTACGTTGTTATTTTTTTTAGACGAGTAGTACTAAGTATTAAGTGCCAACCATAAAAGGTCCAAAAAAAGCCATAATGATCATCAGACTTACATTGTCTAGAGAGAGTTTGGACTTGATGAAGCCACGTATGCTGGAGGCGGTGGAGGAGGAGATGGGGGAGAAGGAACTGTGGGCCGGCATTCCAGTGTGGGAAGCAACTTGCTGCTGTTCAGTTTTTATATGATTCACCTAATTAGAAAGTAGGTCAATTGGCACTAAGATGAATACTAAGGGATGTATGCCACAGCTCAACTCCATAAATTTCTAAATATTTTGATTGTAAGCATGTACCGTTGCACCCCACTCGAACATACTTTTGGCATATTCCTTCACTGCAAGACCATCATGAGCTTCCTTCCTTAAGCGTTCCTCTTCCTCTTGACGTTGACGCCTAGCTGCTGCTGCATTAGCATGGCTGCTCCTCTACTCAAGTAGGGTCTTGTTGTCATTAATGACCCCAATGAACATAGCCCATTTACCATGTGGACGACCACAAGAGCATCAGTAAAGAGCTCTAGCATCCACCGGAGAGCGCAGCCAATCAAAATCAGGTCCATTCAACTCAAGAGCCTTAAGCTTGTATTCATTACTACAGATTGATTTATTACTGTCGCCAGTTTCACTGCCGTAATGATAGAAGTGATGGTGTGATACTTGCACCATTGGTTGGAACGATAGTGAGCAGTGCCGGTCCTAAGATTTTGAGGGCCCTCTGGCGAACTCGTCGCGACGGCCCCTCTAGACTATATATAAATCTTATAATATATATAAGTGCTAATTTTTTTTTTGCAAAGCGAAAACAAATCCAATGATATATTTTTAATTTAACATGTTTGATAACTATCGAGGAACAATGTAGTCTAAAACTAATATGATTACCTTAAGGAAGAATAGAACTCCATAATATTCATTGCTTCTCATAAAAAGATGGTTCTTCAGGCGTTTCTTGATGCAAAATTATCAAGGACGGTATTGAGATCAATAGTGTCCAAGATATCCCTCTCCATGGTGCAGATAGCCAATCCATTTAACCTTTCTTATGACATAGTTGATCTCAAATAGTTCTTCAACAACTTCAATTTTGAGAAACTTCTTTCAGCTGAAGCTACAGTCACAGGTACAGTTAAGAGGATTCGATAGGCAACCAAAACATTTGGATAGCAATCTGCAGCTATAACAAACTCCAGAATCTCAAGCGCTGACATCAAAGAATCTGGCAAAGTCACTTGTAGCACCTTTAATTCTGAAAAAAAATCATTGATCTCAACATCGGATGAGTTATCCTGAGAAAATGTTTCCACAAAATTCTTGCAGCGCGGCCAAAGATCAGCTTCATCCAAAGATTTCAAATTTTTGAGTTGAACAAGAACCCAAAAACGTTATCAAATTTTTTCATCTGCTCAAATCTACTAGTCAATGAAGCAATTGCAGCATCAATCGTAACATTGAAGTACTCTACTCTAAATGAGTCCACAACAGACCGTTGTATTTTCTCATCTTGGTCATCTTGTTCATCAAAATGTTTCTTTATCTTTTCTTGACGTTTCGTACGAAATTTTGGCTCTGTATCCATTTCCGATGCAATGTTTTTTGCTGTATCCATACTAGAAGTGAAACCTTCATCTCTATACTTCTTAAAATATGATATGACACCTTCAATATGTTTGAGAGTATCATCTATACTCACAATTTTAGATTGCAATTTCTTGCTCACCTTATTTATAGAGAATAAAATATCGTGCCAAATAACCAAACCAACTAAAAATTCAAAATTCTCTAGTGCACTCACCAAAGATTGACATTCACTAATTGTCATTGGGTCATCAGTTGAAGCCTTCTCTAGCGCTAATAAAGCTGGTCTTATTTGAGGAGCTTGGAATCTGATAGATTGACACTTTTTATTCAGCTTTCCCAGCGTGTATTAGACCATGACTTAGCTGTCAATCTTGGGACATTGTCCACCAAAATCTTCCACCTTTTGGTAGATTTTGCAAACAATGTGTATATACGTTGGATGAGACAAAAAAAGAAATAGCTTGCCTACAAGATTTAACAAATAGTAAGCTTCAAACTTTTCTCAAATCATGGCAAATTATATGAAAACAATGTATAATAGAAGTAATAGTTTACCTGCAAGATTTTCCCATCTCACAAAGAGTAAGATTCAGGCTATGACATGCACACGACATGTATAGTGCTCTTCGATTAATTTCAAGCAAGCGCTTCTGAACACCTTGGTAAGGACCCTTCATATTTGAACCATTATCATAGCCTTGTCCTCTCACATCATCAATATTCAAATCAAGATAGGCCAATACATTCTTTAATTCATTAAAAAGACTCAATCCTGATATGTCATCTACCTTCAAGAACTCTAGGAAGAACTCTACACTTGGAACATTCCTCGACATATTGACACACCGAATAATTAGAGTCATTTGTTCTTCATGGCTCACATCTAGAGTACAATCTAAAATCACAGAAAAATACTTGGCATACTTGATGATCTTTAGTAAAGTTTGTCTCACACAATCTGCAAGAAGAGAAATCATCTCATTCTGAATTTTATGCCCAAGATAATGATGATGAATCTCACTATTTTGAATCCGCCTAATATGGTCTTGCATCACAGGATCAAATTCACCCATCATTTCAACTGTGCCCAGAAAGTTACCATTGCTATCTTGATATAGTTTCTCATTTTTCCCTCGAAAAGCCAAATTATGTTTAGCAAGAAACTTGACAGCAGAAACAATTCTTACTAAAACTTGTCTTCAACGCTCTCTCTCTCCCCTTTGCAATCACCCTAAAATTTGCATAATTTTTAAATAGGAGAAAATAATTAATTATGCATTTTTGTGAGCATTTGAATTTAGGGAAATAATAATTTTTATCAAATTAAAATCAAATATAAGGTTTACCTACATGTTTATGCATTCATGCTGTTGCATATTTTTTTGTATTGTGTGGTTCGAAATCGGATTTCAAATTGAATTGAATTTGCATTCAAAATTTGCTTTGAAAAAATTAGAAAAAGGAAAAATGAATTTCCCTTCCTCCCCCTTCCTGCTTTCAGCCCAGGTTGGCCTGCTGGCACAGCTCCTGCATGACCTGATTCCTTTTCCGCCGACCCGCTTTTCCTCTCCGCGCTGCCGTGCTTCTCTCACTCTTGGGCCGTCCGCTCCCCTTGCTCCATCTCACGGCCCAGTAAAGCAAGCGGCCCGCAACCAGCAGCGCGCCGCCTTTTCCTCCTTGGTGACGCTGACGACTTGGTCCCACTCGTCATCGTCTTCCTTGCGTGCGTGCCCAAGCCAGACACCGCTGTCCATGGAGTCCGCGCCACCCACGCCGTTCCCTCTGCCTTGCGCCCCACGATACTTCCCGGCCTTAAATAGCAGCCCCACCGTGCTGCCTCCCCTCAAAATCACGGAAGCCGCTTCGCCTCGAGTTCGCAGCGCTGCTGTCGAGCTAACCCTAGTGCCGCTGCCAACGTCGTCTGCTTTGCCAAGCCGCACGCCGCCACGGTACCGCTCTCGTCCACGTGAAATAGCTAGGTGAGCTCGCCATTCTCTTCTCCACCTTCCCAAGTCTTTCGTTGGAGCAATCTGATTCTGGAGTCACTGTTCCTGTGAGGAGCCGAGTCCCCGGCCATGGCGCCACCGTGGAGTTTGCCACCAAACTCATCGATGTCCCCCATCCCATCCTGATCTGATGTGAGCCGTCCAATCTGAAACAATGGCTGAGATTAGAAGATACCCCTTCGCTGCGAAATTTGTAAAAAGTCCATTACAATTATTCGAGTCTTAACCCGTCGTCCCTGGTTTGTTTCAAAAGGACCCCTGCCTTTTCTTGTAATAAAGCTGCAGTCCTCGGCCAGATTTAAAACTCAGGTTTTATTTATTTTAATTCAAAAATCAAGTTCCACTTATTTACAGGATTGCCACTATCTTCTATAGGCCATAAAATCTTTGTTTTAACTCTGATTTGATCCGTTCAACTTGCGTTAGGTTCGTAATTCCATAATCTACATGTTCATACTACTGTTAAGTAGGTTTTCAACTTTTAAAATTGAAGGTTAGATTTGATCTATTATTTCACTAAAGGAAATCTTGTTTAATTCATAACTTCTTTGTTTTAGCTCTGATTTTTGTGATCTTCGCGTATGTGTGATCGTAGCGAGACGTAGATTTATTTTACTAACTTTTCATCTTGATTTTATGTTAATTGGTGTACTATTCTAATCTATAGCTTTTGTTTGCTATGCATAATTGCTTCTGGATGCTTGTATGTTGCTATGATTATCGAGTATAGACGATGAGCAATTCGTGGGAGATCAAGCGTACTACTTTGACGAGCAGGATCAGCAAGAGTACTTTGTTCAAGGTAAGTATAGCATGGGATCGTCCTTGTTTCCTATTCACCTTAATACATTTAATTCATGTTGCATATGTCACCTTGATAAGGATTCCCTAGAATTGAACTTATACCTTGTCACCTATGGGATATGCATTGGGTAGCTTTGCTAGTGCTCAACTAAACCATGATCTTGTAACTTGACTAATGGTATATGCAATAAACATTAAAATATGACTTTTTAGCAACTTGGAAATAGGGGCTGAAGTGTTTAGCTACTTTCTAAATGCTTCAGATTCCTCTCCCTAAGGACTTATCTGTAAGTGATCATCCGTGACTTACCGTACAGCTGTGAGGGTTACATGGCTCTAGCTATAGCTCAGTATGAGGACCTTTTCTAGCATGTTAGTGGTTACCTTTATTAGCGTAAGAATGGCTTACCGAATTGGGTATAGGACAGCCTCTACTCTTATGTGTATAGCCGTGATGGAATTGTGCCATTCAACAGGGGTTCCTATATCTGTTTGCCAAGTGAATCTAATGGCCCTAACTTGTTAGACGAACCTTTCAAAGGCTTTATAGTGACCCCTGCCTGCTCACCTTAGAAGTGTTTTGGGAGTAATTAACCCGGTCATATGGGTATCATGACTCACAGTGAAAGTGTACAACCTCTGTATAGTGTAAAACTGGTATATCAGCCGTGCTCACGGTCACAAGCGGTCTTGGAACATTTACGGAATAGATGAACACTAAGAATTATCTGTTTATGCTATTCATTATTCATGTTT